CCTCGGGGGCCAAGGTTGAGCCGCTTTTGCTATGACCTGTCCCCATTCTCCTCTCCTCCTCACGCCCCGTTCTAGCTACCCTCGGACTTCCAGCAGCGTGTGAGCCTGCATATGGAGAAGCGTGGCTGCAGCCTGCCGTCCCCACTGTGCCACTCGGCCTACGCCGACAGCGTGCCCAACTGCGTCATCGCCAAGGTGCTGGAGAAGCCGGAGCCTGGCAGCCTGTCGTCGTCTCGCATGTCGGATGCTACGGCCCGCGACCTGGGCTACCGCGACAGCGTGGAGAAGTCGGGCGCGCGGGCCTCGTACAAGGAAGACCTCTACTGCAGCGAAGCGGCTCTCTACTGCCCCGATGAGCGTGAGCACGACCGCCGCCGCCGCCCCAGCGTGGAGACGCCCGTGGCCGACGTGGGCTTCCTGCGGGGGCAGAATTCCACCGACAGCGCGGCGGAGGAGGAGGAAGAGCCCGAGGCGGCGGCCTACCCTGAGGCCTACCGTCGCCGCGAGGCCTACCAAGGCTACGCGGCCTCGCTGCCCACATCCAGCTCCTACTCGAGCTTCAGCGCCACGTCCGAGGAGAAGGAGCACGCGCAGGCGAGCACGCTGACCGCCTCGCAGCAGGCCATCTACCTGAATAGCCGCGACGAGTTCTTCAACCGCAAGCCGCCCTCCGCCACCTACGGGAGCAGCCCACGCTTCGCCAGGGCCGCGGCTACCCTGGGCTCGCCGCCCCAGGCCCAGGGAGCCTCGGGCTATGCTCGGACTGTGTCTCCGTACCCGGCCGAGCCCTATCGCTACCCGACCTCGGCTTCCCCCGATTCTCAGCCGGCTCTCATGCCTCCCAACCTGTGGAACCTGCGCGCCAAGGCTAGCGGGAACCGGCTCGCCGGGGAGGACATTCGAGGCCAGTGGCGGCCCCTGAGCGTGGAAGATGTCGGCGCCTACCCATACCAGGCCAATGCAGCCCCAGGCCGCGCCGCCTCGCCCTTCCCAGAACGTTACTACGGCGGTGGCGCCGTCGGCGGTGGCGCCGGTGGCGGCGGCGCTGGCGGCGCTGCTGGCGGTGGCAGCCCCGGTGACGCGGGCGGGGGCCGTGGCAGCCCCCTCTATGCCACCTACAAGGCCGATAGTTTCTCGGAGGGCGATGACCTCTCTCAGGGTCATCTGGCCGAGCCCTGCTTCCTCCGAGCGGGTGGTGATCTGAGCCTCAGCCGCAACCGTTCAGCTGATGCTCTCCCTAGCTACGCAGCCAGTAATGGGAACGGGGATAGGCTCCGGGTGCAGCTGTGTGGGGCGGGCAGTAGCCCTGAGCCAGAGCAGGGGTCCCGGGATTCCCTGGAGGCTAGCTCCATGGAGGCATCTCCTGAGATGCACCCTCCTACTCGCCTCAGCCCCCAGCAGGCCTACCCGAGGACTGGAGGTTCTGGGCTGAGCCGTAAGGACAGTCTCACTAAAGCTCAGCTCTATGGCACCCTGCTCAACTAACTGCCATCAGCAGGTGCAGTCAGGGGCTCCCTACCACCCTGCCCCATATTAGGGAGTAGCCAACCCCCTCGTCCAAACCCCTGACAAGGAATTCCAGTTCCAGTTCCTCCTGACCCTCTTACTGCCACCCGAGTAGAACCTGAAGAAACTCCTCCCTCACCCCCCAACCCCCACCCCCACTGCCCGTCGTCTTGTCACCCAGCTTCTGCTGTAAACCCAGAATATTTCTGCTCTGCACCCTCCCCTGAAGTGAGCATCCCCCGTTTTATAAGTGAAGCTATTTTTTTAGGGAAAAAGAGTGTGTGTTCGCGCACTTGCTGCCAGATTCTGGATGGCAGCCCTGGCAGCCCTGGCGTAGCCCACATGAAGTTACTTCATTTCCAGTGAGGGCGCGTGGGGCCTGCCCTAGGGAAGGGGAGGCTGGGGCCCTAGAGGGACCAGTCTCCACAAGTGGGGAGAAGCCAGCAAGAAGGGAACAAGTGGGAAGTTCTGTACACTGAGGAGGGGAACCAAAGCCACTTAGGGCGCAGAAAATGTCTTGTGCTCCCGTCTCGCAGTGCAGCCAGCAGTCCGCCCTGATCCACCCTGAGCTCTTCCATGGCCCGGTCTGTGGGCCCTAGAGAGGCCAGGGACACCCCCAGAACAGCCGGTGCTCGTTCTTCCCCTCCCCCTCCCAACACCACCTGACTCTACCTCAGATATGAGGCTCCTCCCACACCCCTGTGAACTTGTCGTGTGTGATGCATGCCAGTCCGTTAGTACTGTATTCCGAATTCCTTAATAAAGGACAGCAGTGGAAAGAACCCAGGTCTGCATTGTTTCTTTCCCGGGCCGTGTTAACCAGAATTGGTGTCCCTCACTGGTCCCTGTATGGCAGAGCCACCAACTCTGTCCTCTGATGGCACTGCTGTGTCTCCCTCCTTGTGACTCACTCTGCAGCCTTCCAGTCTACACAGCTTGCCTTCCAGTTCAGATAAGCTCGTGCCTGCTCCACTGCCAAACAGAGACAAGGAGTTTCCGTTCCAGGGCTGCCATGTCTGGGTGGCACAGATGCCCTGGGCCCTCATCCAGTTTTCTGTTCCCCTGAATTTCTTTCAAGCCCACCTCTTACTCCTGCAAAGCCAGTGGCCATTTAAGAGTCAGGGTCTGGCTCTTTCACCACACAGACTCAGTGGGTCTGTGTCTTTGCTTTGCTGCTCTGTCACCTTGTTTCTTTGTGTGCCTGGTTATTCGATACATGGTCACTCAACCCCTGAAAATGCATCGTGGGGTTTTCAACATAGCCTAGGACAGTGGCTCCTTCCTGCAGAAGGGCTCTCCATCTGCTTCCTGTGGACACTAGGGCCTTTCCTGTTGAGAACTACCTTGTCCCAGCTCCACGCCCTGCAGCTCTGCCTTGGCCTTCAAAGCTAGCAGTCGCCAGAGCACTGGCTGCTCAGCAGAACCCCTGGGTTGTGCATCACTCCGGCCCCCGCAACACCTCTTTTCTAGAACATCCTCTGGGTTGGGGTTTCACGATTTCCTTTTGTCCTCTGTGCTAGAGTCATCTCCCCAGCCCCATGCTGGCCCCGCCCACAAGAGGCTGGGAGGGAGGAAGACACATGTAGCTGTAGTGCTAGGCTCAGGAGCTTCAAGGATAAAGGCCCTCATAGAATCCAAATCAGGGAGAGTTCTCACTGTTCTAGAGGAGAGAGGAGATGGGGTCAAGAGCTCATACTAGCTATTGAGGGACGAAGAGTTCACCAGGTAACTCCAGCAAAGGCCTAGGCAGATGACAGTAGAACATTCTAAAACAATCAGTGCTCTCTAGTGCCTCTCTGACAGAGAGAGCCCTGGAGCCACTAGTTTCCAATGTTCTGTGTCCATACCTGTTGTCATAGGGGACAGTAGCTTCTGGCAGTTCCCATATACCCAGATTGCCAGGTGAGCCCTGGTAGGGGCCCCTCATCCACAGACCACCCTCTCTGGAGTCCACTCAGACCCTGCCTAGTCTACAACAATGCCCCATCTGTGTGCTCAACCCCTGCAAACTATCCATGCCCCACCCAGAGACCCCAACGGGAAGTACATGGATACACTCCCACTGGTTGGCTATCACTGGAGGTAGGGCTAATTTCCCCTCTGCATCTGGAGGACACTGGTCCTCTCCTGGGGCCTTCTAGACAGTTGACAACCTCCTGTATGGAGTCCAGCTGGGTTGGGACATAAAGAGAGCCATTTGGGAGACAGTAAAAAGGAATCCAGGATGCAGGCTTCTGGGACAGGTGGTCCTTGCAAGCTTCTGTGCCCTTTGAGAAGGAGCCTCTTCAGTAAGACACAGAGGGTCATGGCCATCCTGTGGGGAGCTGCACGTTAGTACAACTCAGATGAAAGTCACAACCTGACTTGGTGAACAAGCCACGAGTGGGTACAACCTGTGCAGGCATCTCTAGACAAGGCGGCTTTTCTCCCAGGATTCCTCTGATCTGATGTTGCAGATGTGAAAGTGGGGATGGGTGAGTTCGGCCGGGGAGGGTGGGTGGAGGGAGAACCCACACTCCAGGTTCATCTTTCTCCAGTGCTTTCCAAATTTAGCTTACCTATTTTTAAATTGCAAATGGTGAACTCCCGACACCTCAGCTAGGATCAAAGTCAATCTTTCTGAATGTTCTTTGGAAGAGGCGTTTGAAGAAAGCAGAGGAAGCATGGGACACACCTGCCCTCCTGCCCAGGAAGCCAGCTGGGGGCAAATACACAGAGGCACAGTGCATCAACCCCTACAGGAAGAAACCAGACCCTAGGGATGGCACCAGGAAGCAACCACAGTGGGACCACTAGAAAGCCACAACTGTTCCCAGGGACCTGAGTCAGAGCATGGAAGATTCAGGTGGTGTCTGTCTGTCCTGGTAGCACCATCAAGGTGACAGACTGAAGAGCTCTTTCTCTACCCTCACTGTCCCAATGAACCCATTGTGTAGATGGGAAAGCAAAGGCCAATCTCATAGCATCAGAAGACAGGCCCAGAGTCTAATTGGGGCTCCATGATCCCATTTTCCCAGGGACACAGCAGGGGTAGGCTGAGTACTGAGGTAGACAGAGAACCCCTCTACAGATACCTGCTAGCCCTCCTGGAAAATCCTGGTGACCAGAGCCAATCACTGCAGGGGGACAGTGACAGAAGATACCCTGGGGAAGGTAGAAACTTGGATGGCAACCACAGGAGGAGGAGGGACAGCCAGTGTGAGAGGCTGGAGAAGGCTGGTCCTGTAGTCTAGATTACTCGGGCCTGCACTCGGGGAGACACTCATGAAGACGCTACAAGGGGCCCTGAGTTCTTTGAGAATCACATCAGTCCTCTGGTTCACGGTGAGAGCTACTGATCATAGCTTCCCATCTTCCCGGGTAAAGAGTACTACTCTAGTATAGCTTGAAGCAGACGACAGCTACTCTAAAGCTCTCCACGAGGTTTGTCAAGTAGGAAGGAGAGAGGCAGTTCCTGCCAGCAGCCTCTGCCAAAATTAAATCTGGACCATGCTAAGACCCTGAAGGCAAGAGGCAACAGTAAGAGAGGCTCCCACCGGCCCTTGGCCTGCCACAGCAAAGCCTAGAACAGAACCTTGCCAGGTGTCCAGCCTAAACTGGCTGAGTTTCACAAGGCAGACACACAGATCCGAGCAACCTGAGCGCTCACTGAACACATGCCCCATGCTGCTCTTCGAAGGGAGGGGAAAGTGAGACACTCAGTACCCACACAGCTTGCCCAAGATCATACGGTAATGAAGAAAACAGGCAGACCTCAAATCTGTGCCTGACAGGTCCTAAAGCCTGGGTCCTTACAGAAGTCATTCATTACACATTTATGTGCCAGGGTCACAGCAGGACACAAGCCTTGACCAAAGACCTTATTCCACTACTGAATGTCACACAGGACAGCACAGGGTAGAACCCACTGCTTGAGGTATCTCCTTGTGGCTCCCTGAATGAGGGAGAGGGTATGCTTATGAGGAAAAGACAGTAGCTTTCCCCCAGGATGATAGGGACATTGGCCCTGAGGGACCTGAGCACAGAGGAGGCAGCCATCAGCCTGGGGAGGAGGGAACCTGGGCTGACCTATTGTGGCAGCAAGGACACAGGGGCCTTAGCACAAGCCCCAGCCCAAGGCCCTGGCCTGCTTTCCTAGGTGGTGGTGCTCCTCAATGCCTTGGACACTAAGATAAATGTGCAAACGCAGCATGCCTGGGCCATCTCTGGCCCTCAGACTCAGTATGACCAACAATCTTCCAGCTCCCCAACACATCTGCAGGCTGCTCCCCTGCATCTGGTTTCACAGATGAGAAACGGGGACAGGGAAGGAATGGGACAGGTCATGGACTGGACTGCAGAATACGGTAAGGTGTGAAGCCACACATCACCCTGCCAAATCCCAGGCCTCCTCCCCTTCTGCCTTTCTCCTCCCCTCTTCCCCTACCTCCCACCTCCCCTCCTCCCCTCCCCCAACCTCCTTTCCTCCCCTTCCCCCACCTCCCTTCCTCCCCTCCCTACCTCTTTCAAGTACCATGATACCTACCCCAACCTGTGAGTCCCTGGGCCATCCGGCAGTCCTAGTTACAATTCTGATAGTGTTTGAGACTCATGGGCCTGCCCCAGGTCAGGTCTTAGCCCCTGTTCTATTGCTGTGAAGAAACACCATAACCACGGCCATTTTTATTTTAAAAAGCATTTAATTGGGTCTGGTTTACAGTTTCAGAGGTTTAGTCCACTATCATCATGGTGGAGAGCATGGCTGCATGCAGGCATGGTGCTGGAGCAGTAGCTGAGAGCTCTACATCCTGATCTGAAGGCAGAGGAAAAGAGAGACTGGGCCTGGCATCCCCAGTGGCAAACTTCCTCCAAGAAGGCCACACCTACTCCAACAAGGCCACACCTACTCCAACAAGGCCACGCCTCCTAATCCTTCTAATCCTTTCAAACAGGTCCACTCCCCAAGTATTCAGACAGATGAGGTCGTGAGGCCCGCTCTTATTTAAACCACCACACTTCCAGACCCAGCTCACTCAGTCCCTGTAGGTGCTTCTGAGATCCTGCTTCTCCTCATCACTCCTTCAGGATAGATGCACAGCTTCGGCCATCACAGACCACCCACCTGGCAGTGGACAAGCAGCAGGGAAGAGGACCAGAGACTGGTGGGAAGAAACAGTTGTTGGTGTTTAATAGGGACCAGGTGGGGGGAGGGCTGTGGTACACTGAATTCCTGGGCAGACACAAGACCCAGAGCCT